TAAAAAAATTGACACTATTTAGGAACCACGTGTTTTGTTTCGTTCAGGGTCGTGTTGTCAAATCGTTTGTTTATTACCCTGTCGTTATGCAATTGCAAAAACAACCCCTCAGCAATTTTTCTCTTCAAAATGAAAATTTTTGGGTGAAAAATCTATATTATTATTCAAATTATTTTATATGCTCGGTTAACATGGTCTTGAATTGTTTGGTAGTTTTTGAGTTTTCCTGGTTTCTCCTATATAAAAAAAGTTCGCAATTAGAGCAATTAAACTGATATACTAAGTTCCTGAAGCGGTCAGAATTAAACTTAGATTAATTTGTGTAAAAATGAAACTAAGGATAATAAATATATACATTCTACACACACATGCTTCCTTTTTTCTGAAGTATGCAAAAATGTTAAAAAAAGATATATATAAATTTTCATTTTTCGATTTTTGCGATTACTATAACTTACCCTACGGAAGTTAAAAAAGATCAAAGAGTTACAAAGTACTTTTATCATGACGCGAATGATAAATCATGATTAATAAATTTAAATTGGGGCGCAACCGATGAGTATATTTATTATATAGAGACTCGGCTTATTGAAAGCTTACATTATTCATTATAGACAAATGCATTCTGATGTCAATGAACAAATATGTAAATACAAAAGCTATATTGTTATTAAATCCAGCTGATTTGTAATTAATATTAAATTTCTGGTGTAATTCACTCTTATAATTTGATTAAAATTACATTGAAATCTATTCTTTTTTAGCATTATAATCTTATTCTTTTGTCATCTCAACTAAATATAAAAGTAAATGAAAAACTGAAGATAATCAATTCTTGGAGCAGCGGTCGGGAGACATTTTTAAAATTTACTCCAAAATATTTTGTCTAATACTATTTTGATACTACCCCCATGACAAAAGAGATTACCCCTCTGCGGTCTACTATGTAGCAAATACAGTAAATATCAATTAAAAATATATTCTTTTTACCTCAAAAATTCCATTTTTAACCCCATTTGAGATAATTTATCTCAACCAACATCTTGGAGTTGGTAGAATTTAGTTAAATTTGAGATTCTAAAATTTGTACATAATATTTTTTCAGACAATTACTTGAGCTAGGTTTAAATACAACCTGATTTGTTTTATATACAAAAGGATATGTCAAATCCTTCTTACAAATCTACTCTTAACTAAATATTTATTTCTTACTATTTGAAGGCATAAGTTAGCTTTTATGTGCAGTTTATGTTGTTATTTTCTACAGATTAATGACTTTGGCAAACTGCCCAATGTAGTTTTAAAATTTAGTTATAAACATATTTGACTTCTCTATAATAAAATGAATAGAGTTCATAATTTATCCACATATGGCAAATAAGATGTAAATTAAAATATTTTTAAACAACAAATCGAAAAAGAAAAATTTATATATCTTTACGTTTCAAAGGTTTTGAACATTTTGACATACCTTAGAAAAAATCGATGTACGCGTGTGTGTGTGTGTACATGTGTTTGTATATGTGTGTGTGTGCGGATACAAATTTTCGTCGACGATTTCGGAAACACCGATCAACCGATTTGAATAATTCAAAAAACATTCGATTCGTATTGATTAGAAGACGTGCAGATTAGTTTTTTGGCGAAGGCAGGTCTAGCCGTTCCGAAGATACGAGGCAAAAAGTGCCAAAAACGGTAACTTCAAGAGAACGGAGCGTCCGATTTTGATAATTCAAAAAACATTTTACTTGTTTCGACAAGATGAAGAACTGATTAAATTTTGGGGAAGGTAGGTCCAGCGGTTGTGGACTCTCAATAAAAATAAGTTAAAAAAATGTGATTTGGCGGTCAAAAATGTTTATTGGAAATATGTACATCAAACTATCAGATGTTTTATAGAGATTTTAATAGTAATGTGTACACATTTTGTATAATTTTTTTTTTGGGTTTCGTAACAAAATTTTTAATTACGGTACGGGAAGTTCTAGCAATTTGCCTTAAGGTACGAAGCCATGCACCCCACTAATTTATTTTTGAATGTCATATATTAGTTTACTGGCAAATTATATTTTTATTTTTACTACAAGTTATTTATGAGTTAAAGACCTGTATATTAAGTTTATGAAAAATATACTTAACTAAAAAATATTAGGTTTTTTCATATTTGAAATTGAATACAAATTGCATTTTGATAGATCAGACAACGATAAAAGAAAGTGTTTACATTTTTGCTTGATAAAGACAACAATTATTACTAATATTTATAATAAAAAAGGCATTATACACAATCCTTGTCTTACGACCTGAACTGAAAAGCAATATAATACATCCTTAAGGATGTGTGTTATATTTTTAAATATTACAAAAATAATATGTTTTTATATATCCTAAAACAAAATCTTTAAACTTAAATAACATAAATAAAAAATCCTCATAACCCAGGATTTTCCAGATCACAAAATCAAAACATATGCAATCAGACAGAACGATGTTCCCCATATTACAAAAAGTTACCCCTATGTTTGATCCTACAATTAGCTTGGGTTATTTAAATAAAATTAATCCAAATACAAAGCTCCATGTCTATTTCATTATAAAATATTTCTACTTACTCGTATTAACAGTGACATCAGGATAAGTTAATCCATTTGACAGCACCGGCACAAAACAAATCCATAACACAAAAGTCATCAACAAACAAAAATTCACACATGTCCGAGGTAAACAGTCGTACAACTTTTCACACATTATGAGACTTTTTATGAATTAAAACATTCTTTTCACTCACTGCTCTTACGTGATGCTACACTTCATTTTTGCACATAATATCATAGTTATGATTAATTGAAAATAATTCAAAATTTGCCCTCGTTTTTGTATATGTACGACCTAAGCAGCACGATCACAATACAAAACTGAATGGAATCTTAAATCATACCTCTGAAATAACCTTGGTGGATCGAAGCGGAGAGAAGTTAGCTGGGTACGCTTCAAGCTGGTTCTTGAGAATCGAATAATTCGAAAGGATAATACGAGAGACAGCGACAAGAATATCTAATCGAGGCGAGCAAGGATTTACACTCAAATTCACCATTAAACTAGCTGTAAGTGGAATTCTGTCTTGAGGCAATTATGGCATCGTGCCTTAAGGCAAATTGCTGGAACTTCCCGTACCGTAACGAAATGTTCGTGGAATACTGAATGTTTTCAAATAGATTATTATGAATATTGTAACATTGTCTAATATTTATAAGAATTATATAAACTGAATTGCAGAGTTGAAATTATTTGTAAAGTATATTAGAACTATAGTCAGAATCAAACATAAAATCTGAAATATTTTCGATATACAAGAAACTAAAAAAAAAAAAAAAAAAAAAAAAAAAATGGAGCAAAATTTTTTTTTCCCAAAATCAATTATTTTGTTAAGACAAGCAGAAAGTTCTTTGAATCATTAAAATCGGACGCTTAGTTCTATCTGAAATTGCCATTTTTTACATATTTTGCTCCGTATCTTCAAAATGGCTGGGCCTGCCTTTGCCAAAAACTAATAAACACTTCTCCCAATCATTACTAATTGAATGTTTTTTAGATCATTCAAATCGGATACTCCGTTCTCTCAAAAATTCGATTTCTATTTTCTGCACTCTTTGCTCCGTATCTCCGAAACGGCTGGACCTGCCTTTGCCAAAAACTAATCAGCTCTTTTCCCTATCAATAGGAATCGAATGCCTTTTGAACCATTCAAATCGGTTGATCCGTGCGCCCGAAAACGTGGGCGAAAATTTGTATCCATACATACATACACACACACACCACACACACACACACATCCATTTTTTCTAAGGTATGCCAAAACGTTCAGAAACCTTCAAAACGTCGAGAAATGTAAAAATTTTCAATTCCGATTTTCGGCCCATTACAATAACTTACCCTACGGGAAGTTAAATATGTAAAAATTAATTTACATAAAAATTTATAAATAGCATATACAAAAACTACGAACATAAGCAATTATAGTTCATACATCAATAAAAATTTGATTTGTAGTTCATAAGAAATCGAATAGAATTCAAATAGTTCCCATTGCACACATTGTTTCTAAATTTTTTGAATTTATCTAACATTTGAAACTTATTTGACTATTTCTAACACATTTCTTTTAAATCGTAAATAATTATAAAAAACTTTCCGAACCGAAAATTAAATTAAAAAAAAAAAACGCTCGAAAACGTAAAGATTTTTATTTGTGGTAACGAGGGAGTTTATAATACTGCCTGTGTCCTGGCCTCTCGTACTATGTAAAGATCTGTTTACTAGAGTTTCTATTTGGCATATGTCACTGTAAATACAGTGAAAAAGCTGAGAATTAAATTAAAGAGTTCTTCCTCACTGGTAACCATATTAAAAATTAAACTATTTTACAATACATAATACGCATGCAAAATTGTCTTTAACACATAACTTTTTTTTAAAATTCACATAACCTATAAAATAGTGACAGTTACATAATAAAATAATTATTACAAATAAGGGACAGAATGGGAGGTCATGGTCATGGACATGGGCACGGAGACCCCTACGTTGTACCAGATTATAGGATTTACAAAGTTGAAGATGCCCCTGAATTAGTTCAAGTCCAAAAGGCTCTTGCAAGTAAAGGACTTAAAGACCCATGGCTGAGGTAAACAATATATTACTTAGTACCCATTTCAGTTTTATATTTTGTTCATTTTTTGTTAAATAGAAATGAAGTATGGCGATTTAATACAAAAGAATTTGGAACAAGAAGGAGCCGAACGATGGGCTTTTTATTCCGAGGATTCAAATGGGGACTGGCTGCTACAGTAGTAACAGTCGCATTAGAGAAGGCATGGGAAAAAATGAATCCTAAAGATGATCATCATGGTCATGGACATCATTAATAATTAATTTGATATAATTAGATGATTGTAGATATTATTATACTAATAAAAGAGGAAGATAAGTCACAGGTTCTGTTTATTTTAATATTTTGATGCAATGTGTTTGAATGTAATATAAAAATTAAATTACTAATATTTAATAATCTAAAAAAAATTTACATACAGAAAAAAATCAAATCAAGTTGATGTTCTTGGTTTTAACTCATCAAAACAAGGTCTTAAAAATATATAATTCTTCTTAGTAGGATTGTAAAATTCGTGACCCTGCAATAAAAATTTTATCATATAACTTAGGAATATAATCAATGCATTCTAATTAAATAAGTATTACCTTAGACCAATCATAGCTCACAGAATAAGCAAAAATTTGTCCATTGTGGTTAAAAGCACATTTTGTGATAGGTTGCTCCATAGCTTCAGATGGTTTTAGTTTAGTTCTTGCGTCTTTATCCCAAAAACTGAATGAGCCATCTGAACCAACTGTCGCTAAGGTTCCATGAATGGGATGGAATGCTATATCATTCACAGCATATATATCCTAATAACGAAAAAAATATTATTGAGTGTTAATTTTATAATGTTTTCAAACTCTGCGTGAATAAGTAGAGCATTGTTGGAATCTTTTGATAATTATAAAATTTACATATAATCTGTATTCTGTAAAGTTGATATAATAATAAATGTAATATATCATTGTTCTTGAAAATATGTGCAGTTTAAAATATTTAACAATCTAATTTAATAGTTTAAAATAATATAAAAAGAGATTTTGCTTTATGTGAATTCTATGAAAGTACAGTTTGGTGTTAAATACCTGAAATCCATTAGGTGTTCCATTGGATCGGTGGCATTTAAATGTAAAATTGTCTTTTGGATTTACGGGATTGACATATTGAATGGCTACACGACCTTCCACACTGCCCAGTGCATAACCTAGTAAGATTCAAAAGAACATTTAATGAATGCAAAAATTTAAAATGGAAATGCTTTTCAAATTTTTTTTAAGAATATCTAGAATCTTAATAAACAGAAAAAGATAGGCATAAAAATCATATTGATATTTTTTTATATGTTAAGTCTTTGATTGAAACATTCATTTTCAAACATTTGTACTAATGAACACTTGATAGAATCCGCACAGCATATTGATGTCTATCACAAACCAAATTTTATCTATTTATTAGCCACAGAAATTTAGTTACTACCAAAATTCAAAAGTTATTTTGATGATAAATGTCCATGAATATATTCTTATTACCTGTTGGTACTTTCTTTTTATCTCTAAAAATAGCAACAGTCCGATGTTGGTATTTCAAAGGACTATCAAGCCTTTTATATTCAGTTGGTGTATTTTCTAAAGTATATACAATTAGACCCCGGCTGGCAGTCCCAACAACTGCCATTGGGTAATCTACATCAGCACAGTAACAACGCTCAGGCAAATTGATTGACATCATAGGATTAGGTGAGCGGGTGTCCCAAAACTATTGTATGAATAAATTATTACAAAAATAATGTAATTTGTGTAACTATGAAAACAGTTTTATTCTGTACCTTAAGGGTTTTATCCCAAGAACCAGTCATTAGACAAGTGTAAGTGGTGCCTTTTATCCAATGACAGGTTTTAACCGGAGCATCGTGAGCTGCAACTTGAATCATTTGGTTTGAACCTAAATCCCAACATTTGACTTGTTTGTCGCAAGAAGCAATAAAAACCTTTGTCCCATCCTATAATTGGTATTATATGATTAATATAAGAGTTTATTTTAAAAGTTTGCTATTGTTATTTATATTATGTAATAAATTTTTTTGTGACATAATGCAAATTAATACACAAAATCTGAATAAACCCAATTCTGAGTTGTTGATTACAAAATTAAATACGTACATCGCTCCAACAAACATCCAGCACAGGACCTCCCACTGTTTGCATCGATTTTGGATTTGTTTTCCCAGTTTGTTCTACTTCCCAGCATCTTACCTAAAATATGTAACTTTATTGCAGTGAATCAAATAGATGTGTTATCAAATAATTTTATACGATTTATAAATATCCGTACTAACATTTATAATAAAAAATTACATATTGCCCATGTTCATATTTTAAATTCAAATACTACAAATAAAAATGAATTAATACTAAATTATGATGTTTTCTTTGCTTTTGTTAGTTTGATTGTTGTTTGATAACTAATCTAATTATTATTCAATTGACCATTTATATTACTGTTTTATTCTATTTTAGGTAGTTATCGAAATAGAAATCTAATCGTTATAAAAATTACTATGTACAGAACCCAGCCACAATAGGTTATGATGTATTATTTATCATGCAATTATGAATTTACATATTTAATATTATAATTATATATTACATTGCAATCCCAACTTCCAGCGATCAAGAAATTTTGGGGAAGTGTTCCTGGACTAAACGCTAAAGCTGACACTGAATCATCAGGTGGAGAAGTTACTTCAAAATCTTTCATAGGATTTGCAGACGACGGAGTCGGTGTAGCTCCAAAATTAGATCCAAACATTTTGCACAATTATTTATTTAATTAACAATTGTTTTTTAAAAATAACCTTAAATATTATGCATTGTGTTTTATCGTTAATCCAAATATTTATGAAATGCGTTGACATTAGAATTCATTAAGTGGAATGGTAATAGATGGCTCTGGGTGGACCTTTCAGAAAAATTAATTCGTGAAGGCGGAAGTAACCCTAGACAATATAATAATAAGGCGGAAGTAACGGAAAATAGGTTTGAAAATTGTTTATGTTTAAGATGTTTACTAGTTACATAATACCAAATAGAATTGTTTTTTCCTTTAGTTTTGTTGCTAAACTTATATCCAAACATAAACTCTTGATGTGCTAAAATAATCAATTGTTTAAAATATTTGTCTATTATCACTTCAGCCCTACAGTAACAATTTGAGGTAAATAATTATTTTATTATTCTAGGAAAAAATCTTTGATATATAATGATTATTACGTTTTTGTTACTAATTAAATTCAAGATTATTAAGTGCGGAGGTCAACAATGATTAATGTGCATTTACTATCATTTTATGAATTTACTTCTAACAAATTTAAATGAAATTGAAACAAATTTAAATACAATTAAAATTAATTGTAAATTTAATAACATTTAAAACAAAATAAAACAGTATATATATGTACATGTATATATTTTAACTGCTGCTTAAAATCACATAGGTTTAATAAATATAAACATATAATCTATATAAATATAAATAAATGTGTCAAACCTATTCTCTTGATCACTGTTTCTATATTATCAACACTTAGCTTTATATTCCATAAACTTCAACATTTTATGATTTTATTCTTAATTTTTTTTTTTAGAAAAGATAACACTATCTTGCTTATGTAAAATTACTTATTGACATCAGTCAATCACGTCAGGTTTCTTGTAAAATACAATCACACAAATATTTCAAGAACAAAAACATTAAGTTTGTCATTAGATAAAATACAACGATAAAATATAAATCAACCTATTTGTTTCACTTAACTCTCTTCTTATACAATTAACATTAATATTACACTGCTTTATTCATTAACTCTGGGCCCATCTATAGGCATTGTATGGAGCACTTCATCAAGTAGCTGTAAAGCTCTATGTAAGTGTATTTCTATCCAACAAGGGGTATTTTTTATTGATTGCCTAGGGTAATCAGGTCCCCAACCTTTTACAAAACTCAGACGTAAAATGCAAAGTCTACGAAGATCATCCACACCAATACCTGCAGCGGCACTTAAACCTAAATTAGAGTAGAAAATTTTTACATAAATTAGAAAATATTTAAATGCTTATAATTAAAAAAATACTCACTAATAGGAGCTATGGCACTAGTACTAGATGGCACAGTAATTCTCCCTGCAACAGCAGCAGCTTGAGCGGCTGCTGCAGCCTGAGCTGTTCGAGCTTGAATTTGCATTTGACTATGGCACTGATGAAGATCAAAAACCTGGATAAAAAAAGTCAAAAATGTTCAAACAACTATATAATATAGAGTAGATAAAACATGATAATCTCAAGCATTCTCATTTGATAACTTTGATTTTTTATGAGAATGTAAGTTAAACCAAATTATTTATCAGTAAGGTTTAAAAATGAAGTAAACGTTTTGATATCACACTATTTACATATTGTTTTAACCTTTATATATGCACTGGAATAAATTTTATGAACGGCGTCACCAGGAGCTCTTCCAGCTTCTCTATCAAGATAATAGCTTTGTACAAATACTGAATGATCACTGTTGCATAATAACCATACATCGCCTTCACCTTTCAAATCTAGCTGAACGCCTTTACCAATATGTAACCTGGAATCAAAAAAATGATTATGATAAGTCTACTGGAAATAAAAATAAATTCATGCCACCAACTGCAAATAAAACATTATTTTTTGCATAACATAATCAAAAGTTATTTACCTAGCTCTTTCACTCTGCTCTGTTCTGTGCACATTACTCAATGCTCCAAGACAGAATCGATTACCACCAGAGGGGTCTACATATCCATCTACTATAACATTGGGTCTTGAAGATGGCACCTTAAATGTTTCTCCAACTTGAGTGTCCAATTCAAAGTAAGCTACTGAGCACCAATACTCAGGAGCAGGTTGTGATGATAATAATCCAGGAGAAACACTATTAATCTCACCACCAGGATAATTATTTGCAGCATTATGCCCCCCTAAATTAGAAAAAATCCATATTTAGTTCTGGAGAACTTAAACCATTAACATAGACTAAGAAACATTATTTATTCAATCAGAAAAAAAAATTCAGATAATAAATATTGTTTTTTAAATTACAACTTACAATAGGGTCCAGTAGCTGTATGATGTGATGGTGTATAAGTAACAGTGCTAGAACCTGTCCAGGTTGCATGTGGCCCTGCATAATTCTGTCGTGCACCTTGTGTCTGATTAACCACCATGCCTGCTGCACCTGGTTGGCCAGATTGATTTCCAGTGTTATTTCCAAAACCGTTTGCAATTTGTTGAGGTGATACTGCAGAAGCACATTCAGCAGATGTAGAACCTAATACATAATGATTATGTGTTTGAAAGAAAAGAATAGAAGTTTATTTTTTAGAATATAATAATTACCCAAATTAGTTATTTGCGTTTCGGAATTTATCTGTTCATTAGGAGGACCAAAAAACTGTTGTTGTCCAGAATTACCCGGTACATTACTGCTTGGCACAACAGCAGGATGTCTAACAACTGATTGAGGAACATTTGCTGGCATTCCATGAGGTATAGACGCTAAGGGGTGGAGAAATATAATTTTTATGAAATATTAATGTTATGTAAATATAAAAATTAAATCATCTTTTGGTTTTGTTCACCTTTTGCTTTAAAATATTTTACTAAATAAAAACTTTGTTATCTCTATTTGCAACAATTGTGTAACAAGAAAATAAATAATTAAATTATTTAAATAATAGACTAAAGAATAAATAATAAAAGCATTAGTGGATAATATTGTAGCAAATGATAAAATACTTGCAATAGAAATGAACTTTTTAAACTAAAAAATAAACAAATATTGCAATAGTCAAATCTGTAAAATTATACAAAATAAATTCAAGTGCTCAAATTTAAATCAAACTAAAATAAAATAATATCTTACGATGAGGTAATCTATTAGGCATCCAGTTTGGTCTACCATCAGTTGGTTCTAGTTTTGGTATTGATGGAGGCATTGGACCAACAAAGATGGGTTCACCTAATAATTGAGTAATAGCTAAAGTAATGCAATGTGATATGAAATATTTATTATTATAAAACAAAATAGATAAAATATTGAAAGAAACATAGATCATACATAGAATTTTCAGAGAAAGAATTTTTTAAACTAAAATTTTCATATAACATTGATAATAATGAAACAATAAGCATTTTTTAAGAGAAAGAATAAATAAAACTATTCAAGCCTGTAGTAATGAACGGAATTATTAATTATATCTAAAATATTATATACCTTCAAATTTGATTCTGAAGAAGTAAATTATACTTGCTAAATGTTATTTGAAACTGCACAAAGTTCTTTTCAGGAGGCATTACAGGGATAAGTATAACAAAGTAAATAAAAACAAACTTATTAAACAAATTAATAGTATAAAACAATAAATTAAATATTAATGGATGATTCTAAAATGTTTCATATCACCTGCATAAACAGTATGCTTCCATAACTATAAAAATTATTAAAATTCCCTTTCTCACCTTGTGTATCCTGTTGGGGCCCAACATTGCCAGGATGTACAGCAGTTGTTGTTACTTCTGGCCCTACAGGATTATGAGGATAATGCGGAATTGTTGGAACAAAATCAGGATCCATTTGTGAAGATGGATTACCTGCAGTGTATTCATCTTTGGGAAGCCGTGCACAATTAGAAGTATGTATTGTCAAGGAAGACAAATCTGAAATTATATTATTTTTATACCAGTCAGATCATTTTTATAGTTATAGTTAATATAATTGATAAAGATTCATACCAATCCCTGGAGAGACCACACGTTCATAATGGTAAGGATTAACACAAACTGAGTCACATTTTAAATCAAAAGCAAATTGGCAATATTTTACATGCTTTAGTTCATTTTTATGAAGATCTGGCCATCTCCATATCCTGGCATAAATAACATGAGGAAATCCCTTTCTTCCAGCCACTTGCAATCTTCCATCTAAGGTTCTCTGAATTGTCACACATTTGCTAGGATGTGCACCATTTGTAGTAATTGCGGTGATAAGAGAATCTAATTCATCTCGTTTTTCCTTTAACTTTTTTACAAGGGATTCTATAGCTCGCTTTGCAAAATTCTCATTTTCACCTCCTTGTCGATGACACATCAAAGAATGAACAATACTTAGACAAGCATCTGCTGATGTAGGTGCACTTGTTGGCATAGTCGCCATTTCGACCACTGTAATTAATAAATATAAATAAAAAATATGAGCTAATCTACATATCTATGGTCATTTCCTTGATTTCACCCATCTTAATGGACATTCTTAGTAAGAAAGAATTTCAAATTATAGCAAACAAAAGACCCTCTCTCATTAGTTTGTGAAAATATCAAATTTGTACACTTGCTCATTAATTAATATATCATTTGGTGATCATTCAACATCTGCTTGTGCAAAATTATAAATATTATTTTCCAATTTGGATGTTTAATCATGCATATATGAAATTCTTACATATTTAAATAACATTGTACACAAACAATAATTTTCAGATGAATACACTCTTTAAATGTGATATTAAAAATACTTATTATAAACTGTTAATGTTTTAAACTGATTCAAGCAATAATTAGTATTAATCACTCTCTATCTCTATCTCTGTCTTTCCTTCTTTCATAAAATGTCAATCAATACAAAATTACACAAGTTAGAGTGATAAATACTAAAAATGTTGATACTTTAAGATTATCTCACCTTCTTGAGTACCCACACAAGGTGAATATAAGTGCCCCAGTGTTAACAAACCAACCATTCTAAATCCATAAGTAAATCCGAGTTTTCCACTCGATGTACGTAAAGTACATAATAAGCAAGAAATTCATATCAACACAATAATATTTGTTTGAATAATCAACATGAATTTTCTATCACGCTTGATGTAATTCAAATTGACTTGGGTCCACTATTTTGACGATGGAGAATTTACATATATATTTATATAAATATAATGACTTATGAGAAAGCATCAGGCGCGCTCAAACTTAATTTATAATCCATTCACTCTGAATTAACCGATATCTTCAACATTTCTTATCAAAAAAGTTTGCAAAAGACTAATGTACCAAGAATGATAAAACAAATGAAGTAAAGAAGTATAAATAAATGTTCTATGCAATGTTTTTATCTATGGAAATGCTTCAACTCCACAACAATGTTCAACTTAAGTAGTGCTGCCATCGATGACTTTAATATTGCCACATTACATTCGTTGTTAAAGCGTTGTAAAGGATTTTCACACAGACGTTGATGACCGCTCAATAGCCATAGATAGTTGAATAGACAAATTCGCTAGACATACGACTTTTATCTACGACGTGATGAAAGCATAGATAAAAGAAAAGGTTGAAAGCATGTTGACAGTTCGTTGTAACCCTACGGCTAACCATGAAATTTGACGTTTCATAACAATGTGATATATGAAATTATTAAATGTTGATATATTATAACATATTAAAATGATGAAATTTAATAAAGAGTTTTTATCCTTTGCCAGTAAATTCAGTGTACTACCTTTTAATATAGGTTTTTCGAAGTTGTTCTACTCAACCACAAATAGTGTGATTAATTATGAAGATACTGTTGATGTTATAGATTATGGACAATTCGAAATTAATAAAATGCCACATAAAAAACGTACTATTTCAAAACTTCAAGAACTTTTTAATTGTTCACATGATCATGCCACTGATATTGTAAAACACCACCCAATTTTAGTCAAAAGATCTATCGAGAATATAAATAAAGCAGTCAGCTTTCTGGAAGAAAAATCTGTTAAACAAAATATTTTATATGATAATCCATGGATCTTGGGAATAAAGAATGGTAAATACTAGACTCCACATCATATTAAGTTCATTTTAAAGCTTTATAATGAAAATATAAAACTTTATTTTTGTTATTTATTAAAAGTTGTTTTTTTTCTAGATGAACTAAAAGAAAAAATAGAACTTATAGAAATGATAGAATATAAAAAAATTGATCATTTCGTACCATTTCTTCAATTAGAAACAAAAGATCTACAACATGTAGTTAAAATAATGCAATGTGAAGTTTCAACTGTGCCTGGAAAAAATCGACTTTATTATTTCAAAAATATGACTAAGGTTTATATAAGGTTTTTATTGCAGTTACAAATTGCCTTATTGACCTATATTTCAACCATTTTAGGTAGAAACTATGGTAATTTCTCAGCACTTCGCACAAAGGTGGTTTATATATGAAGTAAATTATCTTTATTTTAAGAACATCTTGACTTTTTTGTTAGGTAATTTTCTTTATTTTTTAACTTTAAGTATTAAGTATTTATTAGTATATTATTTAAGTATTAAATAAGCATCAATATCATCATGTGGTTAAACCAAGATATAATTTAATGAAAATTAAAATTGCAGATAGTGGTGTTACACCATATAATATTTTGCGAGATCTGTGGGTTTTCAAATATCATCCTGCTAAAATTAGAGAAAGAATAACAATAGCTAAAAGAGCAAATAGTAAAAAAATAATGCCCTGGATGGTTAGATGCAAAGAGGGAGTATTTCAGAGGTATAATGATTTTTTGTTTTGTAGAAAAAAAATGAAATAAAATTTATGTATTTCTGATTAATTTTAAAGTCTTTGTTGAAATTTTTAGATTTCTCAGTAGAACCAAAGAAACTAATGATGTATTAGCAAATCGTTCACTTGAAGATTATTTAGGTGAAAAACTTAAGTGTGATATGGATATGGTGAAATATATCATTAAAAATAATCCAACCATAAAGAAAATCCATATAACTAAGGTACATAATTCCTCAGCATTATATTGAAGTAATATTTTAAATCTTGAATATAATTTTAATTGCAGGTACAAGACACATTGGATTATTTATTAGGTCAAGGGTTCTCTGCGTATCATATTGCACAAGCCCCAAAAATTTTAAGCCATAGTTTACAAACAACGAAAGAAAGATTGGAAGAAATTAAAGCTTTGGGTCTAAATACCAACTCACTTGTTATACTTTGTAAAAGTAAAAAAGAATATGCGAAACATTTAAAGGCTTTAGCAAAATGTAGTATAAGAGAATCATTGAGAAACAAGTGAATAAAAATAAATAATGAAATTATACATACTTCTATTTGTTCTACAATTTTTATACATCCTCTATATTCCTCTTTGATTTAACAAACATTTCAAATGTATTTAAGTGTATAAACATGGTAGCTGCAGATAATCTAGCTTGTAGCTGCAGTTGTTCAACATCATGAGCCCATTCTACTCGGCCCCAATGCCCCAACTATAATTATAATTATTTAAAATATAGCTTTTTATATACTTATATTTTAAAATAGTTTCAGAAGTTTATCTCAAGTATTGCTATTAAAGCCAAAATTTACATTATAATATAGAAATAAACATGCTCATTGTTTAAAAAATTACAAGTAAAAAAAATTAAAATATAGAATGTAAAATTTATGTGTATTCTATAAAATTGTTTAACTTAACTTGAATTATAGATAATTACCTGAAATTCTTCTTCAAGTCTAGATAAATATGATGCTTTTTCCGTACTAATGAATTTATCGGCACAAGCTAATGCTAGAATGACTGATTTAACTGTATCAACTGCAAAAACTAATCCTAAAAAAAAAATTAGTTAAATGAATAGATTTAGAAAACAGTATGTTGTTTTCTAAAAATACTTACCCTGCAGAGATGCAATATTATGGGAATATAAATAATTTGAAAGAGCCATTTTTGACTCTTCACTAATTTCAGGAGGGGTGATGTCTCTGGCCTTTTTAACATTGACTTTGTATCTATCACAAAACCATTCAATTATTGGATCCCATTCTTTACATTGGAGAGCATATAGTGGGTCATCTAACTGAAGTAATAAGAAATTTTTTTTTTTTGAATTAAATAGAAAAAATCATGACTTCATGTAAGGGGCAACCATTAAGAAAATTTTCAGTAATTACCAAAGTTTCTTAAATCAAATATAATTTAGAAATTATATTTATTATGACCAATAGAATTTCACATCATTTTTAAGCGCCTTTGACCAATGTTCTATTATTCTATTGGTTTAAGGAAAACGCAATGTGCTAACAAAATATACAAATGATTTTGTACATTACTTACCGCCGAATGGAAAAGCAAAGCATCTGTTGTTAAATAATTAACAATATAATTTACCATGTCAGGTTTTGTTAAATTGCTAGGATTATCTATCAATGTAGAGCATAATGCATTCTGAAAATCAATATATGTATATGAATTTAAAAAATAATAATTAAAATTATTGCTCAAATTAATTATTTACCAAATACATGGTTCCCTGTTGTATATTCTTTTTCTGTGCTTCCCATTCTGTTGCTACAGCTAAAGCAAGAGGTTGTACTTGAACTCTAAATGGTTTTCCTGAAGGCGATTTTAATTTTCGTTGATCTAAAGTCACTTCATATTTTCCATCACTATATAATATATTTGTCTTTTTGTAAAACCTTTTTCTTGTTGCTAAAATATATAAAAACATACATAAATGATGCATATATACCCTGTATAATACATATACAGTAGAACCCCGTTAAGGTAGAAGCAATATGATTTTCTGTACAAAACGCAGTTAAAATTATATTGCTTCTATCTCGCATAATACGCTTTTGAGCCTTTTATCCGGTCTCTGGAAAATCGTTCTAGTAGGGTTTTTTTATCTTTTATACAGATACAGAACTTAAAATGAAGAAAACAAAATCTTTCATTAATTTAATTACCGTAATAATAACTAATTATGAAAAGTTATACATGTTTCATAAGTAATCAAAATTTACAATTCAAAAGGTAGTGTTATATAAAAATAATAAATACATGGTGGAAATGAATTAACTAAGCGGATCATTATAATTTATTTACCATAACATCTAATTTGCAATGTCGCATTATAATTAACTTTGAAAAGTTTATTGATCATATTTAGCGACATATCTATTGAAATATAAACATATACTGAATTATTAAATGTCTCGTATAATGTGGTTACAATAATAACCTAACCTCAAAGTTTTTCAACTGACGTTTGTGACGTATGTCTTGGCGGATTTTTATGATTTTGTTTATATCGAGTTTGTGATTGTACTAAACTTTACAATTTTCATGAAAATATTATATATTATAATATACGTTCACTAATAATTAAAAATCTGAGTTCTGCGATTCAAAATGTAAATTGATTATATTTATATTATAAATCACAGCTGGACACATCGAGAACTGTCAAATCAGATAAAGTTTTTTGTACCAGATAAATAACATTGGATTGTTATTATAAAACGTCATTATTGTGTTATCTGTGATTACATTATGAAAAATGGATGAATTAAACTCAGAAAACTATCTCTATTCAACGAGCAAACTATGTTTAGCCCTAGATTGTGAAATGGTAGGAGTTGACACTGGAGATGTTCACATGTTAGCTAGAGTCTCCATTGTCGATCGAGATGGTTCTTGTATTTATGATAAATATGTGAAACCCCAGAAAGAAGTTGTAGACTATAGAACACCAATTAGTGGCATAAGACCAGAACATTTATCCACCGGTGAAGCCTACCACAAAGTGGAACAAGATGTAAAAAATATATTAAACGGTTGCATTCTCGTAGGCCACGCTTTGCATCATGATTTGCAAGTTTTGAATTTGAAACATCCCAAACACATGATAAGAGACACTTCCTTATATAAACCGTTTAGGAAAATATCTGGTGGTAAAACACCTTCATTGAAATTATTGGCGAAAGAAGTTTTAAATAAGTCGATACAAATTGGAGAACATTCATCAATTGAAGATGCTTTTACAGCAATGCAGATTTATTTACGATATCAAGAAAAGTGGGAGAAAAGTTGTAGGAGTAGAAGATATAGATAAAATATATGTACAATTATATATGACATGTGAAAATAATTTTATTTAGATTAAAAGTAAGCATTAGGTGGTTTTATCATTGAAGCAATGTTTTGTAAATTAAAAAATTGTATTATAATATCTTGCATATATCTTTAAATTACACTCAACCAAACATGCCTTAGCAGAAGATGAATTTAGGAATAATTGAAAATATAAGAAATGCAGTATAATAAAAATAATCAAAAATTGCCAAATTTTTTAATTTATTTTTGTTGACTAAATCAGCCCTCTATTAAGTCTTCTAAAATATATATACTTGATTCTTTTATTATATGCACCTGTGTTGAGTAATTTTGTATAAATACTTTATATATAATTTAAGTTTTTTATATTATATTGGGAAAAATATAATACCAAATATATATATATATATATATATATATAATAAAATATATAGTTGATAAATTACATTGTTTACACAGATATATTTTTTACCTAGTTCTTCACGTTCTGGAATCCAAACTACAATTTCATATAATGAACCACATACAAAATATGATATTACTAAATCTCATTTTTCAAATTACTTAAACTGATAGATCATTCTTTCAAGTTGGAATTAAAAATGGCAATGCGAATTATTTCAATCTGCACTCCTTTAAAATAAAGTTAATTCTTGACTAGATCAGAATATAAAAGTTTGTTCTAATAGTTACATTAATGATATATACTACATCTAGTGCCAAATTAAGTAATGCACATCATGTGCTGAAGTTGTATCATTTTGTATGACTTAATTTTATTAAACACAAAATGAGACTAAAATTCAAAATCACATTTGGTAAATAAACATTTTTGTATAGATATAATTTAATTTTTGATATGCACTTGTAGACCTTATACTTGTATAAGGTCTATGTATGCATCTTAAAATCAGCAAAAACAGTGGTGAAAACTGCAATTAGAAATAAAAAAAGTAATAAGAATAAAACAATGTTAACACAATAATTTAATTTCTTGTCTTTTAGTTAAAATTTAAGTTGTATACTTACATAGTTACACCTAAGATATTTCATTTTATACAGGCACAAAAATTATGCATTATAAAAATAATTTCCCTTTCTCAACGAAACATACATAGCCTTTACTAAAATATCATATTCTTAACTAAAAAACATTCAACATAAAGCATTCAAAACAATTCACATAACAATTTCGTTAATAAAAGAAACTCACTGAACAATATCATTAAAAGATTTAAGGTAAGCTTCATGTAACTTATTCACAAAATCAGAGTCTGTTTTTAAAAGATATGATACTGCCTGCAAAAGCTGATTTCTAGTCAAAGGTTCAGGTCGTAAAGAAACATCTGCTTGCTCTAAAGTATTGGAATAATTATTATCCTGACTGGTTTTTGAAGTAAACATTGTAGGTGGCATAAGAGCTGGTGTTTGGTTCGTTGTGTTATTTAAGGTACTGATAATGGCCGGGATTCTTCACCAACTGCATCTGCATTGAAATTTGATTCGGAGATGTAATTCGTATGAAATTCAAATTGTTCTCATTCAGTGAATGCTGTTTATCAATATCGGCAACCTTGTTTGTTTTTCTCCGACCTGCTTCGACTGTATTTAAACCAGTATTGTTCTGTGGTGTAACACACCTTTGTTGTTTTTCAATATGCTCCACACTGTGTGCTGGGTTTGACATAAGCCTTTGCAATATATTCGGATCAGCATTTAAAGGCTCCGCTTTTCGTGGAGCAAATAAAGGTAAAGTATTTTGACTGGATGTGGTAGCCTTTGCAAAGAAGTCCATCACACTCTGTGATGTTAAATCTGTTTTGGGTGCTCCAGAAATTTCTTGAGCAGTAGGTAGGTGGTTGTTTCTTCTGATTGTGATAATCCTCTTGAGCTCGGCTTAACATAGTAAATATATCAGAATTCTCACCCATCGCCGCACCATTGGAGATCATGTTTTCTGTAGGAACAATGGATTGCTTTTGCAAATCCTCAATTAATCTAGACAAAAGTTGAGCGACTTTTACACAATCTTCTCTGTCATAAAACCAGAAGCCGCGAATACAATTATTAGAATTCCTATAGAGTAAGAACGGTTCCTGTAATTGTAAATCCAATCCTTTGACGACCGGCTCGACTAAATTACTTGTATTGAGTCGGTTGATTATCAATATGCCGTGATAGGGCTCACCGTTTCTCGAATAAATAAACAACGCCCCTTCGATATTAGTTCTTTCCCATTCATTCTCTTCGGAATTAAATGAATAGAATGCTACATGGCGAGCAGTTTCTATAATATCTTTTGCGTACGGGTCCACTCTTTTTAAAGCTGTCACATTCATACGCAACTCCGTTACGTCCGCCATGTTTAACAATAAATATATAGTAAATAAATATAATTTTTTTTTATATTTGTGAATATGCTTTAAAATCAAAATAAAAAGATAAATATTATTTTAAATTATGTTCAGATTCTCTGGATTTAAAACTAGCCGCACTGTTTGCCTACAACTGCTTTGGCTTCTATGAGCGAAATACCTTATGTCAATCAATGGCTTTTCATATGAAATTACGGCTAAATATGAAATTATATAACATTAGGGTATGTGTATGTATACACATATATAGTTATATATATATTTTAATAATTAGATATCGAGAACGTTAAGTTAAATAGAGTTTAATTAGATTTATTGAAATATTTTATGTTATTTTTTCAAAAAAGTATGTGTAATACCGCTAGTGCATTACAGAATATTTGATTCAAGATGTATCTCGGTGGCATTTTGATTATCAAGAATAAAAATGATTAAAAAAAAGCATACAATTAAATGTATGGCGAAAAGAATGAAAATGCGTTTGGTTTGGACAAAAAACAATTATTCTAGCGCCTTCTCGCTTTCATAACGGAAACTTTGTCTAATGGGTCACAGACAAAAGATGGCAGGGCAATAACAATTTGTGAAAACAGTACGTTTTTTTCAAAACTTTGTGCATGATGTCACATATACAGTGTCGAAACGTACAAAATAAATAGTTCAATTATTTTATTGCTTTTATTTCAACAACAATTTGGATGCAGATAAACATTCAAGAATAATATATTAACTATTTACCGTTTACAAATGTGGTTTCCAATCTGTGGGTCGCGCTTCCTCATGGAGGGCCCAAAGGCTATTGTTACAGCGTAGCTTTCGAAGTACTATTTTCGAAAATTAATTAAAATGTT